ACACGGATTCATCCCAAACGAACAAAGTTTTACAATTTTATTAAATGGCCTTGCAGACCATCGCCCATTCGAAGATAACATATTGCAAGCACGTAAAATGATCGACAATATGCAAGATTTAACAAAAGCCAAACCAGTAGAATTAAATGTCATTCATGTGAATTGCCTTTTAAAGCTTTGTTCGCGACTTAACAATTTTGAAGCGCTGCAAGAAAATTTCAACGATATGATGAGAATAGGTAATTGGGCTCCTAATAAAGAAACGTTTACCATTATTTTTAATTCTTGTGCAAGAAATGGTGAAAAAGGGTATCTTATGGCTATCCAGTTATGGAATCAATTAAATTCCTTAATTTCTAAACAAAAGAAACAACAATCACAAGTTAGAGAGCCTGATGGATATGGTGCGGATTTTGCACCTGACTCTGGATATGAGATTGAAATGGATGATGAACTTGTGAGATCAATGCTTTTGGTATGCAACAAAACTAAGAATTACGACAAAGGATTTGAAATATTACAGAGCGTTTATGGATTTTCAATATCATCCGAATTGTCGAAAAAAAAGGCATCATCGATATTATCGAATAAACATTTAATTTCACCAAAATCTGTTGATATAATGTTAAATCTTTGCATAGGCGCACGTCAATACGAGAAAGGCATAATGTTATTTAATGAAACATTAAATCAATTTCCAGATATAACGCTTGATATTCATAATTTTAACAAATTAATAATTTGTTATAACCAGTTAGGAAAATTTACAAAATCAATAGATACATTCCATCTAATTCGTGATCGAGACTTGGAGCCAACATTAGAAACATATGATTTGTTATTAACTGCATGCCGTATAACAGAAGATTGGGTAGCTGGGAAAGAATTTTTCGAATTAATAATAAAACAGAAAAAAGAGATTAGTTTAGATTCGCATTTATTAAATATGATATTAGAATCGTCCATGTTAAATCGCAAATCTGAGGGTTCTCTGGAAAAGATTCGTTGGACATTAGAACAAATTGAATCTCTCGGGCCGCGTTATCCTGAAAAAATAAGAAATCTTTCAAAAACCAATAAGCCTAATGCTAGTAAATTTGGGAACGCATCTATACCGTTATATAATATTTATGATATTAGATATTTAAAAAGGATTATTCTAGCTTACGAAACAGTACTGGATCCGAAATTTATCAATAACATTGATGAAAAACAAAAATCACAATGGAAAGAAAATTTAGAATTTTATAAAACAGTTTTGGCTGAGCATGAAGGCCGTAATCAAAAAAATGATGAAAGCATTCCACCAGAACGACGGTATGATATGAGATCAGCATGGAGGTATATAGATCAATTTAAAGGTAGAAGGATTGATAAAAAATATGCGAGAACATTTGATGATGATGTAAGATCAAAGAACCAATTTGATCCTGATAATATAAACAAATTAACAAATAAAAATTAATAGAAAAATATATATGTATATTTAAAGTTAAAATTCATTATTTTATTAACGTTTAAAAGATTTTTTTGTTATACGTAGTCTGTTAAGAGATGAACATGACTAATATGGTAATAGATAGTTGTTATATATTGGTTTGTTCTACGTTGATGATAATTGAATGTCGATATATATAGCGAGACTTTGACATAAGTTACTGATGAATACTGTACTCGCACCTGTAACCCATTAGAATAAATAAATTCTTTAAAAAAAAAAGCTGACTAGTTATGTTTGGTCCGAACTAAGTTTGAACTTAGTCCGAACCAAGTTCAATCCTTAAAAATATCAATTCAATTCAAAATAAAAAAATAACTAGCGTGGCAATAATAGATATATATTATATATAAAATTAACCATATATTAAAAATTTGGCCGGTAAAAATTATTATAATTCTGGCCAAAATTATAAAAAATTTAAAAATACTAATTTTTATGTAGTTACGCAACATAACTCTAAAATTTGGCCAATATTTGTTGGTTTAAGGTGTCCCACACTGTAGTTATAGTTTATTATATACCATTTTAAATTTAAAAAAACATAACAAATGCGATAGTCTGTTTAATATTACCTTCAAACCAACACAATCTAACAATTTATATAAATTCTTGTTCGATTGCAGTTTAATAACAGTCCCCTCGTTATGGTTGTCATTAATTGGGCGTTAAATTATCAACCGACTAAATCTATTTTAAAATTAGATAATACTCATTGATTGTTTATAGTAGACATAATATTATTTTGATATGCTATCGAAGGGCAAAATTAATTTCTTTGACTGTCTATTGTACTTTATAAATTTCTGACTCGTGAATAACAAGTAATCAAGCTTACTATGTACTAAGAAACTTTTTCAAAAAGGAGCTTATAAGCCTGAAACAAAATTTTCTAACCAGTCATAAAATTTACTAACAAACCCAAAGAATCAGTGTTGGCACTTGGTATATGTCCATATTTTTTAAAAAATTTGGACTATGTCCAAATCTATATGTCCATGTCCATA